GTGAAAGTAATTTTGAGCCTAGGTTGGCTTTAGAGCCTAATCCTGACTAACATACAGCTCCATTTCTTAACTCGTTAGACCAGCGGTTCCCAAACTGTGGGCACCGCGGAATATTTCCCCGGTGCTATGATTATAGCACTGGGGAAAGATTACTGCTCAACAGGGACCCAGTTGAGTGTCTGTCACTTCCTCCCAGCATCCTGCAGGGAGACAGCCGGGAGGGAGCTCCAGACCCTTTACTCCCACAGCAGCAGGACTCCAAGCCACCCTTCTGGCACATAAGGTTAGGGTGGCTGGAAATATAAAAAAAAAAAAATCACTTGTGTGTGAGTGAGTTTGCCAAGAGTTCCTGGAAGAGTATGATTGCCAGCCTCCTGCCCACAGACTATGGACCTTGTAAAATGTGATATAAAAGTCTTCGTTCATGTATTTGGACTATATGGTTCGGGAACCGAACAGCCGCACGAACCACCCTGGAGCTTGCCAAGCCTAATCGATACTTTGTAACAATTTCCACCTCAATGTTCTAAGTGGTCATCTGGGTGGCCGCAATTCCTATGGGCGACCACGAGGTGGCGGCCATCTTGCTCGCATAAACGCAGGCAGCGGTGTTTGGTCATCGAGTTCATGGAACTATTTTCGGAAACTGAAACTCCTGAACACTGGACTTCCATGATTGCCGGCGTTCGGTTCGACAACACTTAGAAAGTCACTGTTCGGTGGAAACGTTTCCACGAACAAGGGGAACAAGCTCCAGGGTAAGACTATTGACTATGTTCGGTAGTTTGTTTGTTTTTTAAACTATCAAACTAGACCGACCGCAAGCCCAGATTCTCTGGAACTGTTTTGGGCATGGGACCATTCGTGTGGTCAGTTAAACAAATGACTTCCAGGAAATTCCTAAACCCCTGAACTAATATGGGTGATTTTTGGATATGTTTGTCACCCACATCAGAACTATCAGGGGATGTAACTTGAGGGGTTTTATGTATTTTTAGGGTACTTTTGGGGTGTTTGGGAAAAAGTATGTTTTTTCTGTGCTTGGAGATAATTGGATTTGATTAGTACAGTTCCTGATCCAATTATCTCCCAGGCACAGAGGAGGGATTATCTGATTATTTATGGGAGTTTCCTGGATCTGAGAGCCAATGTAATTGTGTATTTGTTTCTACTGTGGTTTACTCTCAAGGAGGAGTGTCCCTTGCATGGGGACATGCATATAAGCCCAGTTGTGACTGCCATTAAAGCATTCCAGCTTGCACTCCCAGAACTATGTATCGTCTGGTTACTGGGAGGGGAAATGGCTACTCTTTAACCCCTTAATGACCAGGGCTCTTTTTACATTTATTCGGTGTTTGTGTTTAGCTAATTTTCCTCTTACTCATTTACTGTACCCACACATATTATATACCGTATTTCTCGCCATTAAATGGTCTTTCTAAAGACACCATTAGTTTCATAATATCATATAATTTACTATAAAAAAATGATAAAATATGATGAAAACATTTTTAAAAATCCACACTTTTTCGAACTTTGACCCCCAATATCTGTTACGCATTTTTTTTTTTGCAACACGGATATCTGTCAGGAATCCCTGAATAACTCTTCACATGTATACATTTTTTTTTTTTTTTTTTTTAAAAAGAAGACAACCTAAGGTATTAAACTTGGGTATTTTGACTCTTTTCGTGCAACCATTATACCACCAATCTATGCCAAATTTAAAAAAATAAATAAAAAAAAATTGGTGATTTTTTTTGACACACGTAGCAATTTAAGAATACATGTACGGAGAACTGTAAGGGTTACTGTCAAAGAATACCCAAATATGTGTTCAGCAACATTTCCTGAGTACAGTGATACCCCCCATGTATAGGTGTGTCGGTTCTCTGGAGGCCAAAAGACCTTATTTGGAGGGTGCGCATTCCAGTTTTCCAACTTGGAATTTTCACAGCTGGTTATCATGCACCCATGTCCTATTTGGGACATTTTTGAAGCCGGCCAATGTAATTTACCTTTTAGCAGCACTGTGCCGATATAGGATTGTGATGTCCCGTAGCTTGCCGATCCTATTTTTTTTTTTAAATTGAGGTGTGTATGTTGCCGTATTCTGCTTGTGTTATTTATACTGTAATTGCTTTGTATTGTTGTATTTGTGCGTATATGAGCTATTATATTGTATATGTTCAGGAGCAGTTTGTGGTATCATGTATGATACATATGAATGTGGGCTGTGTATGGGGGCTGCTTGTGGAATTGTGTGTGGATGGAAATGTCACATTGTGTGTTTGGTAGTGTGTATGTGTGGGGGCTGTTTGGAGTATTGCATGTGAGAGACTGCATGTGGGGTTGTGCATGTATGTGGATTGTTAGTGCGTTACGTTTGTGTGGATTGTGTGTATGTTTGTTTGTGGGCTGTTCATATTATTTGTATGAGGGAAGGGTTATTGTGCATTTCTGTTTATATCTAGCAGTGTGGGTGGCTTCCCTGGGTTCCAGTGGGGACCAGGCTGGCCAGGTACAGATCAAGGACAGGAGCTGCAACAGCAGCTGCAGGCTGCTCTACTACTGTGTGGATTCCCATTCACAAGTGCTGGGAGGAAGTGATCTGAGATCACTTACTCTATGTGCTGCAATGCATAAATTGAGGATTATCCTTCACCACCTTTTCGTATTAGCAGATATCTGAAGTTTCACTGGGACTCCTGATAGGCCAGAGCCTGTTTGGCTCTAGCAGCCTTAAGTGCCGTAGGTTGCCTACCCCTGCCCTAGGGTAATTCAAATGGTGTCATTTTAATTCTACCACCAGTCTTTGTCAAACGTTTGGGTTGTCGGGTTTTTTTTTGTGTGTTATTTTTCTCTCCCATTGTACTTTAGGCATGGATTCTCAGTTCCGGTTATGTGTTACTGACAAAGAAACCCCCAATATGTGTTCATCAACATCTCCCAAGTACAAGTGCCCCCAATGTACAGGTTTTATGAGCGTTTGCAAACTTACAGGGGTCGAATGTAGGGCTTTCCCCTTTTCCATGTTTGCACACTGAAATTTGCCAGATTGGTTTGCTAGGCCTATGTTGCCTTTGAGACCATATAGCAGCCCAGGAATTATATGTATAATATATGGCTTATATATGTACAACGAAGTCTCCAGAGTATAACAATACCACCCATGTACAGGTTTTATGGTGTTTTGGAAACCTGGCTCAGCTGGCTGCACGGAGAGTTGGGGGCTGAGCTAGAACGGCAGAGGGGGGCGGAGCCAAGCTGGGTGCAGGGGTGGAGCTAAATGCAGCCGCTCTCTGATCACACAGAGGGGAAGCAGGAAGGAGTCCTTGCTTCCCCAACTACAGCACAGGAGCCAAAGGGACTGAATCCACTCCTCCTCCAGCCCAAGCTTATTGTAAGTGAGAGAGAGAGTGTGTGCTGTGTGTAACTGTGTGTGTGACTATCTGTGACTGTTTGAGTGACTGTCTGCCTGTGATTGTCTGTGTGTGTGTGTGACTCCCCAAAGAAGAAGACCGATCGCCGGCGGGGGAATGGCGGCGATCGGTAAGTACATGGGAAGAGGGGAGGGAGGATAGGGGTTCATTTTATTTATTTTTTAAAAAACTATTATGGAGTGCCTCCACCACACAAATTTACCGCGGACATACAGTTTTTTTTTCGGACGTACCTGATACGTCCGCAGTCCTGAATGGGTTAATCACTGTTCCAGTGTTGTGAGGATTCAACGGGGAAAGTCCTTGAGTGTCTTCCAGTGCCTGGGAGTGTCTAGAGCGAATTCTCCATTCGGCTCCAGGGCCCCAGTCAAGCCACGGCGACTGTGGGCAGAAGTGCTGCGGTTTGTCCCCTGTTCCAGCTAGGAAGCGGTCCTTGGTGGAGGTACCCAGCCGGGGTACAGAGAGCTCCGCTACAGTGTGTGAGTTTGTGTATGAGTGTTAGTGTATAAGTGTTTGTATGTGTGTGAGTATGAGTGTTACTGTGTCAGGGTGTGCATCTGTGTGTGTGTGTATATACACGAGTGTGCTTCTGTGTGTGTGCGCGCACACATCTGTATGTCAGGGTGTGTGTTTTTATGTCCGTGTGTATCTGTGTCATGGTGTGGGCATATATCAATGGTTTTGTGTGTCAGGGTGCATGTGTGTATCTATGTGTGTGTATGTGTCAGTGTATTTATATGCATCTGTGTTTTTATATGCATGAATATCTGTGTAAGTATGTATGTGTATACATCCAAGCAGTCAAACACCAACACAACATACAAGCACACTCCTGCAATCTAACACAAATATTACATACAAACACAGCTCTGCATTCAAACAAAAACAAATATATGCACAAACACACCCCTTCACTCAAACCCAAATACTTCACACAAATGTACATCCACATTTAAAAGCGAACATTACATTCAGACACACGCCAGCAATCTAACGCAAACATCACATACAAACACACCCCTGTATTAAAACACAATAAATGTATACAAGAACCTTCAAACACCAACACTGTACATTACACTATAGCGCCAGTAAATGTGGCAGCGCTGTGCAGATATACAACCTAGAAATTTTGACTTTGGGTGCCTTGGAAAAATAATGAAATATCACGGGCACCTTGAACCTAAAAAGCTTTGGAACTACTGCTTTCCAGACCAAATTCCAATAGCTGCTTGCAGACTAGTAAAAAAAAAAAAGAAAAAAAAAAAAAGCAAATGCCAGATGGTACCAAAGTCAAACAAAACTGTTCCAACAAATATTTTTTAAAACAATAAAACAAAACCTATGTTTAAAATAAATTATCCAAGCCTGTAGGAATCATAACTGCCGATAGTAGATACTTAATATAATCTTAAATGCAATAGAGATAATTAGCCGACATCTGTAAAATCTTAAGAGACCTTAATAAAGTTTAGACTAAAGCAAGCTAACATATGTCATGTCAAACATATTTCATATATAAACATTAACCTCTCTAAACCAATAGCTCACATTAGACCTACACCTGAACCATTGTCCTCACAAAAAAGCAGTTTGTGCTAAGAAACCAATAATATACAGTTATGGTCAAATTAATTGGCTTATGGAAGACTGATGAAAATCAGTACTTGGTACTGTGACACTACTTGCTCTGAATGGGTTAAATAAACCTGCCATCAGTGATGGTAACGCCCTTGATTATACTTTAAATCAATGCAACAGAAATTATCAGCATATTAAAAGTTTTGATTTTCGGATCAGAAATTTACTTTTATGCAGCCTGCATTGTCAGGAACTACATGTTCACAAAACAAACCACTCAGAGCATTGCTTTCCTTTAAAAAATAAATATTTATAAACAAAGAAATGAGTTCAGAACTACAATGTTTAAAACTTTCCTTGGAACAGCACATGCCTGGTATATAAAAACCACAGAAAACATTACATCAAAACATTGACATCATAATCCACTTCTGCCCCATAAGTGATTTGGGGCTGGCCCCTCCAGGTCTTCTCTCAATTCTGTTCTTCCAAGGTTTTCTTGGCCAACATCTGTATATGATCTATTTAGTCTCCTCTTGTAATCAGGTCTTCAATATAAGCATCCAGCTCATCATCTGTATTTATATCTATATCCTAGAATAAGGGGGAGGAGGAAGAGGTTACAATTTACATTGACTAGTGTCACTGTGGAATGTTGTACAGACTAACTAGAGCTGCAGACAGTTAATACAAGGTACAACACTAGACCGGTTGCTCTAGAGCATGGATTCAAAGAAACTTTACGTTGAGATCAGCATGGTAAATGGAATGCTTCAATAAAACCACATGCTGTTGCTGTTTAAAAGTCCTTCTCACTGCTAAGATACAAATATAAGGATATAAACACAAATGTATCAATGTTTAAATAGATATTGAAAAAATAAAATAAAAAGGAATACTAAACGCTAGCAAAAATTAAATAAAATTCAAGCTATAGTCTCTAGCTGCTTCCAAAACAAGCTGAATCATAACCTTAATAACTGGAATTGGATGGTAATGTTTCAGGTTGGCTAATTCTTAGTAGCTGAGCATGTAACCTGACTTTCTCTACCAGTGAATTCCATCTAAATATGGATGGAATTGATATTCTTAATGCAATATCCTGAGCAAGAGTCCAAGCCTTATGCCTGGGGGACCATCATTTTGTGTCAAAGAGCATTTTGGCACAGATGTTACTCCATTCAGATGCTGAATTGCTGGCAATGAAGATATCGTGTTGGTGTCATGAGGATGGATTTGATGCCTGAAAAAAATGTCTCCAAGCAGGGCAAAAAACCAAAAACGACCATGTGTGATCAGAGATGGTTGTTAAGATAATGTAACACCCACAGAGCTATGGACATGCCGATGCTGGACAAAAAAGCAAGTAGGGTTAATATCTATTTAAAAAAAAATAAAAAAATTTAACTGAATATATGACTTTACTAATAAATGATACATTAATTACCTAAGGGGGGGAAATTTCAGTTAAAGGTAGTATTCCATGACAGTTTTACATCATGCAATTAAATCCAATAAATGAGGGATAAACACATGAGAGACGGTCTCTATACCCAAGTTGAGCAGAGCGTCACCGTGGCAAAATAAGTGCAAATAGAGTTTTCATTTTTTTGACTTAAAAAGTGTTAAAAACAAATCTTTAGACGACATCTTATATTCCCTGTTTTAATTAAAGCAAAACGCCAAGTGCCATAACCACTACAGTGCACTGTAATGGTTTTGATGCCAGGAGTGCCCTACACTTGTAAGTAGTCAAACTATTTTAGATGCCACCACCCGCATCTCTGCAGGTGAAAGGGAATGCTGGAAGCTCCAGTTAGGACCTTCCATTACACTCTCTGTAGTGGTTATGGTGCTTGGTGAGACCCTTTCAATTTTCTGATTTTGATATGTAGATTGATAACACTGTGCAACCATTTGGATGTCTGTTCATTTAACCAATTTGCAAACATGGCAACAAATAGTTGTTTCTAATTAGCCTAGGGAAGATACACGTTTCAGGAGCATAATTATGCCATATTATTTTTCTATATGTCTCTGAAACACAAGTGGATAAAATCTTAACATTTCCAAATCAACAGAGAGGACTATTGTGTTACAAAACCATCCATTAGTAGATAAAATGAAAAAACAAAAACAAAAAAAACACGATGGAGTAATCTCTTCTAAACAGAAAAAAAAACTATCACACAATCATCCTTCCTTTTAAATTACTCTTTGTTAATCTTTATTCCTTCACCTAAAAACATAAAATAGTATCCATAACAAATAAAACATACTTATGTAAACATAAAAAAATAATGTCACTGCGCTCAACTGGCATTGGTTCAAAGTTCCAAGTCAAATTCAATTGCATTTCCCCATACCTCCTGTACTTTCTGTAATAGGGAAACAATGTTGGTCCTCAGTTTTTGCAGTTTCTCTTCTGCTTCTCTAAGCTTTTTTTCTGTGGTTCGAAGATTCTCTTCTGAAGCTTTAGCACGGCTATCTGCACGGTTCTGGTAAGAATTACAAAGGTTCTGCAGCCCCACCTCATATTGCTTGAAGTATTCTTTCTGCAGAGTAAACGAGGGTTAATCACCAGAAGCTGATTGCTAACAATTACAAAGCAGTATTGAACTTTGTGAGGATTATGAACTAATCTTTTCTTTGGGAAGACAATTGAGGCATTTTGCCTAAATAATAAAAATACAAAACTGCATTTAAAAGGGAGTGGCCCAATTTATCTAAACTGACAGTAAACAGATATTCACTTTAAAAACACATCCCAACACTATATTTTTTTTCTGATGCTAAACAGTGGTACATAGTTAAATACCACCATAAAGGTAGGAGCATCCATAAATTCAGAGTATAATTACTTTCAAAATTTTGTAGTGTGAATACTACTATTTCCTAGAGAGAACAAAAAATGGACAGATTCCAGATTAAAAAAAACAAGAATGGCAAACTGTACAAAAAAATATGTATGGTAGGCAATATTTTGCATAAATAACTTAGACCACACAATAAACACAGTTTTATTTATATTTCAATGGGCTATGCTTTTAACGCTTAAAAGGGGCATACCACCATAACTTGATAACGGTAACATATTTACATAAACTTTTAACTTTCACCATCACTTAATTGCCAGTAAGTCATAGCTAACCTGACCATTTAACACATATCCTTCCTCAGAACTTGAACCGGAGGATGACTTTGCCCCAAAGCTTTCTTACACCAAAACATTACCCTCTTAAAGGACCACTATAGTGCCAGGAAAACATACTCGTTTTCCTGGCACTATAGTGCCCTGAGGGTGCCCCCACCCTCAGGGACCCCCTCCCGCCCGGCTCTGGAAGGGGGAAAGGGTAAAAACTTACCTTTTTCCAGCGCTGGGCGGAGAGCTCTCCTCCTCCTCTCCGCCTCCGTTACGCCCCGCCGCTGAATGCGCACGCGCGGCAAGAGCTGCGCGCGCATTCAGCCGGTCTCATAGGAAAGCATTTACAATGCTTTCCTATGGACGCTGGCGTGCTCTCACTGTGAAAATCACAGTGAGAAGCACGCAAGCGCCTCTAGTGGCTGTCAATGAGACAGCCACTAGAGGATTAGGGGGAAGGCTTAACCCATTCATAATTATAGCAGTTTCTCTGAAACTGCTATAATTATGAAAAAATGGGTTAACCCTAGAAGGACCTGGCACCCAGACCACTTCATTAAGCTGAAGTGGTCTGGGTGCCTAGCGTGGTCCTTTAAGGACTGAGCCAAATGTACTAGGGATCGACAGATTATTTGTTTTACCGATATTATCGGCCGGTATTTTCGGCAATATCGGTATCAGCCAATAAAGATACAGATATTGCCGATAATACATACCAGGACCGCCGGGCCCATTACAAGCCCGGTGGTCCTGGGGGGGCCGGCAGCAAGCATTTACTTTCCTTCCCAGCAGCTCCCTGTGTAAATCTCGCGAGACCCGCGGCCGTCAGAGCGTTGCCGCGGGTTACCGTGGCAACGCTCTGCGCGGCACGCAGACCGCAACATTTACACAGGGAGCAGCTAGGAACGTAAGCCGGCCCCCACTGCACATCAATGCCACCTGACCACCAGGGAATGCCATAGCCCCCCCTCCCTGTCCAGGTAACAAGCAGGGACAAAAAAAATCAAAATATTAAAAATAATCTGAATATCCTGCGGGCATTGTATCCTACTGTGCTGTTTTCCCCCTTTGCTTGCACCAACACACATTTCTGTTCCTGTTCTATTAATTTATCCTTTCTTTTACTTTCCTTTTCTCCTTAGTCACTCCTATTACCACTGCAGCCCAAAATCTGGAGAATAGACCCACAAACCACAACCACTCTAGAGTGCTATTACTAAATGTGTGTCAGCTAAACTTGCTAAATAATACGATGCATAAAAATACTGTATGGCTTACACTTAGGCTGCACCCTCTACTTAGAAATTTGCACCGAGGATCTCCCCACTAGTACAGCCATAAACGATTTACCAGCCATATTTTCCACTCACCCACACCCAATATCCCACAGTTAGAAAGCCTGCCTGAAATCCCCTTCAGTTCAGTTAAATATGTTTAGCCTGTCATTAAATGTCTTATAATATCGTCAGTCAGAATAACCAGACCGCTGCTACATGACTCCAGACTGATATATTGACCATTCTGTTTATTGTTCTGCCTGATCTTACTTTTTTAAAAAATTGTGCAGTTCCTTCATATGCCATGTCAAAGCTATATCTAACTTCTAATATGAATCGCTTGCTAAATCTGTTGTGGTATTCACAAGACTACATGTAACCACACTACACACTGTATTCATTATATACACACACTATACAAACACACTGCATTCACTTTACACACACTACATTCACTATACACACATTACACACACTGCGTTCGCTATACCCACACTACACACACCCTGCATTCACTATACACACACTACACAAACACACACACTCTGCATTCATTATATACACACACACACACACACACACAACACAGTCACTGAATTAACTATACACACTACACAAACACACCCTGCATTCATTATATACACACTACACAAATACACACAGCTCCCCTGTCTAAACACGCTGCATCCACTGCATGTATATTTTGTGCATTTACCTTTAGAATAGTTTAATTTTTCAAAATTGTAAATGCACAGAATATCGGCAAGTTATCGGCCTGAAAGTTCACAGATGATCTTTATCGGTATCGGCTCTAAAAAAATCAATATCGGTCGATCCCTAAAATGTACACGTTGCGATCAAAACAAAATGTAAACCAATCCTGGAATTTGACTATATGTCTGTTCAACCGTAATTCACCTCTTTCATATTAAGTGCACCCACATTTATTATATACCATTATATTCAGGGGAAACAGGGCTTTCATTTAACATCAAATATTTAGCTATGAAACATAATTTAATATGAATAAAATATTTTTAAAAAATGGGAGAAGATAAATGATTTTTTTAGTTCTATGTGACATTTTAACTGTGAATTTCATAATACTGTTTGCTTTTACTGCAATAAAGTACACATATTTGTATTCAGCGATGTCTCACGTGTAAAACAGTACCCCCTATGAACAGGTTTTATGGTGTTTTGGGAAGTTACAGGGTCAAAAAGCATGCAAGCATTATATTTGACTCTGTAACTTTTGAAAACACTATAAAACCTGTACATGAGGGTTACTGTTACACATGGGAGACTTCACTGAGCACACCTATATGTATTAATATCAAAATACAGTTAGAACGAAATTACACATATATTTTTTAAAATTTATTTTATATTATTTTTTAACATATTTACATATTTATTTTAAAATTATACATATATAATTATATATATTAATAATAAAATACACTTAGACAGTGTATGTATGTGTATATATATATATATACACACATACATACATACATACACACATATATACACACTTAATGCCTGTGGCATCTTGAACTTGGATACACCTGTGAACATGCTCTGCTCCTCCAAGTCTACAGTATGCTCAATAGCTAATGCTGCAAGGTCTAGTTTACATGTTCTGTTTTCATATTCTTTTTTTTGTCCCTCTATTTTGCTTTTATTTTTTATATTCACTTTAGTTTCCTGTTAAACATCACAGTGTACTATTTTTTTTCTTAAGAGGAGCGTGACCTTTGTCACTTTGTCTTTGAAATGACACTCCAGGCAACACCACCATTTAAGTGCATTTGAAATATTTAGGCTTCATATACATGCTGTATTTCACTCTACATTCACATCTCTTTAGTTTTGAAGGGAAAAATAAATAAATCAAAATGTTTTGTGACTTTCTATTTCTGCACAAAAAATTGAAATTCCCCTTTTGACAATTTACAGTTTTTTTTTTGTTTTTGTTTTTTTAGGTACACATAATAAAAGGTAGAGACTGCTCTTTCTTATGGGATCATTATCTTTGGCAATGGTCTGAGTTTAAAGGCAAACTATAGTGTAAGGAAAACAAAGTTGTTTTCTTGCGCAATATAGCTCTCTATAGTGCCCGTCTCCCTCGCGCTCCCTCAGCTCAGGAGTAGAAGTGGAAGGAAGGAGTGGGGTTGGATTCATGCCAATGATGCGGAGAGCCATGAGCATCCTTACACCGCCTCTCCGCCAGGCCCCAGGTGGGCTGCATGCGCAGGTAGGGCTGGGAGTTCGTCGGCTCCCCGCACTGCTTGCTCCCCCGCCCGGCAGGCCATGTATTCTATCCAGGTGGCCCATAATAGGGTCCAGTGCTCTACTGTGCCTCGCCGTTCGGCCGTGAGGGACTCCATCTCTTAGATCTCCATGACTTTTTCCGTGCATTGTGTGATGGTAGGGATGTCTTTTGATTTCCATCTGGGATTAAGTTTTTTGTGGCATTTAGGAAGTGTCGCATGAGGAATTTCTTATAGGCCGCAATCTGCATCTTGGTATAAGCAGCATAGGGAGGGGTTGCATAGGTACATCTGAGTCTAGGATGTCTGTGAGTTTGCAATGTATCTGTTGCCAGAAAGCAGCAATTGGCGGGCATGACCACCATATGTGGAGGCCTGTGCAATCTGTGGCATTGTATCGCCAGCACATTCGGCACAACGCCCATGCAATATAGCTGGGCAGGGGTCCTATACCAGCCTGTCAGGAGTTTGTAGTTGAGTTTCTGTAGTTTGGAGCCGAGTAGCAGTGCAGCGTTTTGCCATACCTGTGCAATAGCCCCTCAATGCTTTCCTATGGGAACGCATTGGACTGGCTGAAATCATCAAGATTGATGATATCAGCCATGGAGGTGGAACCAGGCAGGGTCAGCCACAGAAAGACTGGTACAGGGTGGAAGAAATGGTGAGTAAAATCACCTTTTCAGCGCGATCTGCATGGGGGGGATGACCTTAAATAGCCACACCAGCCCTATAGTGTCAGGAATACATGTTTGTATTCTTGATATTAGTTCCTTTAAAAAAAAAACATGTCTTTCCCGCACTTCCCAGTCAAACCTTTGACATAGACTATGCCAAAGATTTGACTAATAAAATTGAGCAGACAGTCTTTCTGCTCTCCTTAGCATAGCAAGAAAAGCAACCAAAATGCATGCGCTGCGATTGCTATATAAATTCCAAAGCTGGAGCTGCTAGCACTAACGATGAAGTATCTCATGCCTGTGTCACAGACATTTGCTCTGCTTGGAGAAGCATTCCTAAGCAGGGCAAACTAAAGAAGACTACAGGAGAAGTGAAGGACAGACCGGAGGTGGCTGTTACATGAAGTGTACCACCCAAAAAGCTCTGAAGATGACAGTGCTGGAACATAGGTGAGGGGAGTGTATTTAGAAAATTAACATTGAATATATTATGTAATTTGTGATATATGATTTATTGAATGCACAGGGCTGTCTTTTCTCTTGGACACAATCTCTATAGCCGTGATGCACTACAAGCAGTAGAGGGTCGCTGTGCTAGGGAAAAAGGATGGCTAGAAGGTTGGAGAGGATTTAAAACTAGTGGAGGGGAGAGGGGCACAAAAGTCTTAAAAAAATAAAAAAGTGACAGATTGAAAAATGTCTTGTGTTTAAACATGATGGGAATTTTTTTTTTTTTTTTTTTATGTATCGATCTTACTCTCCTCTTATCTCATTTTAAAATCTCAGATAACTGTTATGTAATCTACTGCTGTGTTTATAAACCCTTTAACATTTAACCCCTTATCTATATGGCTTTTACACATACAATAAACTTTGCAGGTATCAGACAAAGCTAAACGTCTCTAATGAGACATGAAGGGGTGTTTTATAAACCCCCTACATACTTATTAACCCTAAATAGGGCTATAACACATTCTAATCACCTTGCTGGTATCAGCTAAAAGGCAAATTTCTCTGTTGAGACTGAAAGGTGCTGCTCCTACATACTTATAAACTCTTAATAGAGCAAACATGGGGTGACTGGCAGCAATATTACATAGCCACCCCATGTTTGCTCTGTTAAGAAAATAGAGAAATTTACCTTTTGGCTGATACCAGCAAGGTGATTTGTATGTGTTATAGCCTTATTTAGGGGTAATAAGTTTGTAGGGGTTTACATATGTTTACCTTTGTCTGATACCAGCAAAGTTTATTGTATGTGTAGAAGCCCTATATAGGGTTAAATGTGAAAGGGTTTATAAAATACCCCTTCCTGTCTTATTAGAGATTCTTGGCTGATATCAGCAAATCTAATGGCTAGTGTAGGACTCACCTTTTGAGGCTTGCCTTGACGTGGCAGGTGATCTTATATATTCAAATGGCCATTGGAATGAAACTAGAGCCTCCATTTTGTTTGGATAGTTGGTAAATGAAGATCAGGAAAGGGAAGACATTTTAAATAATTATTTTTCTTCAGTATATATCAAGGAAGAACATTTGGCAAGAGTTATGCAAAAACATTGCTGCAAAAACATTGCTGCAAAAACTTTTAAGAAAATATGCCACTGGATGCTTTAAGACAAACTGCTGTTTCAACTAAAGAAAATGAATGTAAACAAAGACACAGGGCGAGATGATATTCCCCCACAAGTACTTAAAGAGCTTAGTTTGGAAAATAAGAGATTCTTTCAGGATACCTTTCTTTAATGAATTGTACTGGAGGATTGGAGAAAGGCAGATGTGATTCCTATATTCAAAAAGGATTCAAAAATCTTTGCCTGGGGGGGCGTGGCCTGGAGGCGAACCGGAGCGGTCGCATGCACTAGCGGCTCCGCGACTGGCTTCAAAGGAGTAATTAAGCCCGAAATCGGCCGCACAAGCAGGAATGTCGCAACCTAAGGGGAAGAGGAACAAGGAGAGAGCTGAGAAAACCAACTTCTTTGTCTCCAGAGCCGGGCAAGCCAAAAGCCAGCCGCCACACGAGCTGACCCAAGATGAGGACATGGCAGACGGATGCGCACGGAGAAATAACCTCCGCATACGAGGCATACCAGAAACAGTGAGTGTTCCTGACCTCATGGCCCATGTAACAGGCCTCCTGAGACACCTACTGCCAGACTGGCCTCAAGAGATGTTGCTGATTGATAGAATCCACCGTATGGCAAAACCAAGTTTTTTACCCCCAGAGACACCTCGTGATGTTCTGCTTCGCATGCACTACTTCCACGCCAAAGAAGCAGTCCTGAATGCCAACAGAACGCACAAAGGCCTACCAGACCCATACAAACATATCGCACTATACGCTGACATCTCGGCCTTCACCTTGAAACGCCGCAGAGACTTCAGGGACATCACCCGGACCCTATGAGACCATGAGACCATCACCTTCCGTACCACTGGGTATACCCAACCAAAGTATTGGTTAACAGAAATGGGAAAATCACGGCCATCCAGACCCCAGAAGACGGACAAAACATTTTGCAGACCTGGGACATCGCAATACCGGCTACGGCGACCACAGAGACGGGCGCACCGCGACTCTCCCCAGACTGGAGAAAGCCTAAAAGAAAATGAACAAAGACTTTCCTGAACCAGGGGTGAACACCCTCGCAGAGACAGAGTCGGTCTGAAACCAGGGATGGGTAAAGTAATGGAACTGTAAAGATAACATATAGGGTAGATATTGAATGCGTGACATTGAAGGGCCACTACCCCTACGAGAGAGAGAGGGAGAGAAATAAAAAAAATTAAAAAAAGGGGGGGGAGAGGGAGGCCTTAGTTAGAAGGCTCAGATCCCCAACAAAGCCTATGACACCACTGGGTAATTTGAGAGAGGACAAGAATGATATGCAACCAGTATCCAACCCACAAGTAGACTAGAGACCCATACCCTACCGACAAGAAGTCCATTAGAAACACCCCGCTGGTAAAATACCCACTATCCCACTGACTCAGAAAGAAATAAAAACAAAAAAAATTTCGGGTAGCGACGAAAAGCAACAGACCCACACAGGGCGTTACAGTCACTAACCAAGGTTAAGAGAAGCCACAAGCAGGGAGGTATACCAGACCGAGAAGCTTAGCTTCAACCCCAAGGCACGTCGATGCAGTGCCCAGCCACACCTCAGGCAGAATTGTTATTTGTATATACTTTTGTTGTTATGTTACTGTTATGCATTGTATATTTTGTTCAGTTACTGGTATCCAAATCAAACCCTCAGAGGGGCACACCACAGGGAACCCCGCACAAATACTTCTCTCGCATACCACACTACTGGTTCTCATCCCCCTTAGACACGAACCTACCCCACAAGCTCTACGGGACATCAGCACCCAAACCAAAAACGGGACGTCAGCACTCGGCTTGCTGAAGCTGGGAGGAGTGCTGTCCCTTGACGAAACACACATCACAAAATACTATAGCCCACTACACAATAAGAAACCACCGTGAGGATCTGTACATACAACGTACGGGGATTGAATACCCCCGCTTAAAGACATATGTTACACAGAGAGCTCAAGTCCCTAAACGCGGATATCGTATGTCTCCAGGAGACACATTTTAGACATATGGATCACCCCACTATTCAAACAATGCAATTTCCACACCAATACCACGCCACGTCACCTACTAAATCTAGAGGCGCCTCTATCCTATTAAGCAAACACATAAAATTTGAACCACAACACCATGAAACAGACAACAATGGCAGGTATGTCCTTCTACAGGGCAAAATAAACGATATGACCTACACAATACTCAACGTCTACACACCCAACACAAACCAGCGAAATTTCCTACAGAGCATTCTCAAAAAAACAAGCGCTATACAACAGGGAATTACGATAATCTGTGGCGATTTCAACCACATCATAGACCCCATAGCAGACACCACACTATCACGACAACGCCCCCTGAACAGACAATGCAAAGCCCTGCAGAAACTCATACACAAACATCATTTCTATGATGCATGGAGAACCACACACCCGGGGGAAAAAACATTTACCCATTTCTCACACGTCCACAACTCCTACTCTCGGATAGATGGGTTCCTCATCTCAGGGCAACACCTAAACCAAATCCACACCTGCGAAATAAAACAAATCACATGGTCCGACCATGCACCTGTGCTCCTCGACATGAAAAACTCATACGACTTCAAACACCGTAGCCCCTGGAAGCTAAATAACACGTTGCTCCAAAATAACGAATACACGAAAGAACTTGCAGATGACCTCACTTTATACTTTACACAGAACGACAACGGAGAAGTGTCACCGACCACTATCTGGCAGGCACACAAAGCAATCATACGAGGGCTGCTAATTAGAAAGGCGGCACACATAAAAAAACAGGCGCAGACCACACTAAAAACATGGCAACGAGAGCTATATGACTTAAATAGGAGTAACCAACTACAACCAACGGCAGAAAACAGACATCGCATCATGACCATCACTAGGCTCATACACCAGCAGGCACTAGATCAAACGCAAACCAACATGACAAGACTTAAAATATCACATTACATGCAGGGCAACAAAGCGAGCAAACTACTAGACAATCAACTGAAGCAAAAACAAGCCAATCAAAAAATAGCCTACATCCTAGACAACAAAGGCCAGAAACACGCCACACCTAGAGAAATCAGTGAAACATTCGCCAAATACTACCACACCCTATACAACCTGAAAGGAGACTCGAACACGACGCAACCCACGGACACCAGCATAAAAGCCTATTTAGACAAACTAGCCCTGCCACAACAGCAGACAGACTTAACCAAACCCATAGAAATACAGGAGATGCTTAAAATCATCCAAACACTGCCGACGGGAAAATCACCAGGCCCAGATGGCCTGACAAACTTATATTACAAGAAGCTCAGCCACGTATTAGCACCCCACCTAACAACGACTTTCAACTACGCTACAGCCCAGAAATCCCTTCCAAAAGAGATGCTGTTAGCACACATAGTTACGTTGCCAAAGCCCAACAAACCACCCACGACGCCGAAAAAATTTCGGCCTATTTCACTCCTAAACACAGACGCGAAGCTCTTTGCCAAACTATATGCTACGAGACTGGGACTAATCATACCACACATCATTCACAACGACCAGGTGGGATTTGTAAAAGGGAGACAAGGGTCAGACAACACAAGGAAGGCCATAAACCTGCTATACAAACTATAGACACAAAAAGAGGGGGGATTGTTCCTCTCTCTAGACGCCGAAAAGGCCTTTGACAGGCTACACTGGGGGTTCCTAAAAGCAGTTTTACGCAAGTTCGGAATACCGGACGAATTTGAAGCAGTAGTAGACGCATTATACAGCTCGCCCGAGGCACGAGTGCTGAACTCGGGGTTCCTGTCGGAGCCGTTTCGGCTCACCAACGGAACAAGACAAGGATGCCCCCTATCGCCACTACTGTATATCCTAGCCCTAGAACCACTAGCCACACAATTCAGAGAAAATGGCAACATACACGGGATACAAGTGGGGAAGAAGGAATACAAAGCAGGACTGTTTGCAGATGACATTATGCTGACAATCACACAGCCACACATCTCACTACCAAACATTCATGCTGAAATAAAGGAGTATGGGGATCAATCTTACTATACATTGAACGTTACCAAGACACAGGCCATGGGGATAGGGATGACTCAAGCCTCGCTAGACAAACTAAAAGACAACTTTCAATTCGACTGGAGGGGGGATTACATCACTTTTTTAGGACTAAAACTGCCAAAACACCCTCACCAACTGTTGCAACTTAATTATGGCAAACTCCTGAAGAAAAGCGAAGAAACACTGAAAAGTTGGGAACACACATTTCTGTCTTGGGTAGGTAGGATGACTGCCCTGAAAATGGTCTTACTCCCCAAGTTCCAATACCTCATCAGAACACTGCAGATTTTCCTCCCAAACAAATACCTAACCAAGCTGCAACGCATATACACATCATTTGTATGGGCACACAAGAAAATAAGAGTGGCGTCAGCAATCCTGAGCAAACCCACCTCCCTAGGGGGCCTGGGCCTGCCAGCCGTCCATCTATATTATGAAGCCGCCCTCCTGTCCACTAGTCTCACTCTACACACAGGGGGAAACAAGCCTCAATGGGCAGAGATGGAGGCTGCAGGGATATACTCAGGGGGCATAAAATACGTATTCTGGGTACCCCACAAGTTGAGACCCAAACACAAAGATTTACTACCAACTACCTCTTTACTCCTAGACACATGGGACTCTAAGACAAAACTCCTAGGGCAAACCAAAAGCTGGGTGATGGCGACCCCGATACAGAGCTTGCACATCGCAAACCCCACTTTAGACCACCGCCCCTGGACCCAACGAGGGTGCACACGAATAGAACACCTCTACAAGGAAGGTAAACTAGAACCATATCCCACTCTGAAACACAAATACCACTTGCCAAATGCCACTCTGTTCACATACCTCCAAATAAAAGGACTTCTGGAGAATGAGACCACAACAACAACACCCACACCCTTAAAACAATTATATCACATATGCACCACGGGCAACATACCAAAAAAGACACTCTCTCTACTCTACGCCACACTAAACGACAACCCTAAAACACCACCAAAAGACAAATTCAAGGAGCACTGGCATGAGGACCTACATAAACAATTCACTGACAGCCAATGGCAAAAAGCCTTTATCGCCCACAAAGGGAGATCTAGATGCGCAGCACACTTAGAGCTCATGAGGAAACTGCAGTACAGGTGGTACATGGTGCCGACGAGACTAGCGACCATGTATCCACATACGTCAAAATTGTGCTGGAGGTGCGGGTTGGAGGAAGGCAGCATGTACCACATATGGTGGACATGTAACCAAATACAACCATACTGGAGAGAAGTAGGAGACATTATTTGACGCACACTTGGCACACAGACGCCCCTCCAGCCAGAATGTGGTCTGTTTATGACTCTAGAGACATACAACAGACCACAAGCGATACTACTCTTCCATATCCTAATAGCCGCAAACACACTGATTGCAAGGGCCTGGAAACAAACCACGAGACCAGAAAAAGCTGCATTACTGATCCAAATCTCTACCAATTTAATGTACGAAACCAAACTAAACGCCAAATTTGGAGCATCTGCTCAAGCAAAACAAGCCAGAGACAGATAGGAAGAGGTGACGAGAACCACATGAAGTGGATATAGAACAGCCGGGCAAAGAGGCGGGATACAGGGAGGGAGAGTGAGGAGGAGAGGGGAAGAAGCGAAAAAAAGAAAAGAAAAAAAAGGGACGAGAGCCAACAAAGAATCACGGCCACAAATCACGGGGAGAAACCAGACATACGCACAAACCAGGGGCAACAGAGAGTATGACAATACTAGCAACAAAGGAGGGAGGTGTAATGTGATTGTTCAATTAAACGCTGTGCCGCAAGGGCCGATGCTTTACCCTGATATGTTGTAACCCCCCCCGCAGGAATCTTGGTTGTAACATAACAGAATGTAAGAACATGTACATCGATTCCCCCGCCCCCTTTTTTCCTTTCTGTACCCATAACACGAAAATGCCTAATAAAAATTCAATTGGAAAAAAAAAATCTTTGCCTGGAAATTATAGACCTGTGAACTTCTGTGGCTGGTAAAAAAAAGGGTTATTAAGGGATAGTATTAAAAAAAATAATTGGGAAGAACAATGTCATTAGTATAATTTTATGAAATGCAGATCATGTCAAACTAACTTAATTGCATTCTACAAAGAAGTAAGTCAAAGTATAGATCAGGGTGTTGCAGTGGATGTGCATTGGATTTTGTCAAGGTGTTTGATGTGGTTTCACACAATAGGTTAGTGTTCAAACTAAGAAAAATAGGTCTAGGATGAAAATTCTTGTTCTTGGGTAGAACATTGGCTTAAAGTTAGAGTACAGAGAGTCGTCATTGATGGTAAATTTTCAAGCTAGACAAAAGTGGTAAGTGGTGTTCATCAGAGGTCTGTTCTGGGACCTCTTCTATTCAATCTATTTACAAATTATCTTGATAATTATCTTGATAAAGGCTATTAAAGTCATGTATCAGTGTTTGCAGACAACACAAAGCGTGATAAGGTAATACAATGTGAGCAGTATTATACATAGCAGAAGAGGGATTTAGATTGATGAGGAGACTGGGCACTCGAATGGCAGTTGAATTTTCACATAGATAAATGCAAAGTTATGCACTTTGGGGTAAAGAATGCACAAGCAACTTACAAACTAATTGGTAATGAATTAAGAATAGCAACACTTAAAAGAACACTATAGTCACCTAAATTACTTTAGCTAAATAAAGCAGTTTTAGTGTATAGATCATTCCCCTGCAATTTCAGTGCTCAATTCACTGTCATTTAGGAGTTAAATCACTTTGTTTCTGTTTATGCAGCCCTAGCCACACCTCCCCTGGCTATGATTGACAGAGCCTGCATGGAAAAAAAAAAAATGGTTTCACTTTCAAACAGATGTAATTTACCTTAAATAATTGTATCTCAATCTCTAAATTGAACTTTAATCACATACAGGAGGCTCTTGCAGGGTCTAGGGATTCAACTCCTAAATGGCAGAGGATTGAGCAGTGAGGCTGCAGGGGCATGTTCTATACACCAAAACTGCTTCATTAAGCTAAAGTTGTTCAGGTGACTATAGTGTCCCTTTAAGGAGGAGTTGGGAATTATTATAAACTACAAACTAGGCAACAATGGAATGTCAATCAGTAGTTGCAATAAGGTATTGCCATGCTTAAAGAGGGGCACTAATTCTTGAGATAAAAATATAATTTTGCCTCTATAAATCAATGGTAAGACCACACCTTGAATATGCTGTGCAATTTTGGAAACCTGTACTCATGGCACTAGAAAATGTGCAGAGGCAGGCTACAAATTAACAAGAGGAATGAAGAGTCTAGTAATGAAGAAAGACCAACACATTTAAATCTGTTTAGTTTACAAAAATAGTGTCTCAGAGTGGATACAACAGTGTTATACTAATATTTGGTGCCAAGACAAACCGTTGTCTGAAAATCCAATCATAAACAGGACTATGCATAGGACATGAGGTCACCCATTTAGACTGGAAGCAAGGGCGGACTAACCACACAGGCAGATCGGTAATGAACTGAAAGTCCGAGGCAGTCAGGGGTCTGAATGAACAGCCATGCTCTGGCTGGGGAGATCAGAGACCTCACCTGCCATAAAGTCATATTTAGAAACACACATTCCAGCAATAAGGTGCCCCTGCAATCTATCTCACTGTACGAGACCTTCATACTTCTCAGTGAAACTTGGCTCGCAGTACTGCTCTTCTTGCTAAGTCTCCCCCATGCAGTGCGCTCGGTGAGAGAAAGAGGCAGTTCCAGTGGTGGGAAGTGACATTACTTCTGTCGACTCTCTCCTTTCCTGCATAGAGCTCCAGGCCTGTGAGCACTATGAAGATGAGGAGCAATTGACAGAGACAACACATACCAGGTATGCTCTTTAAGAATACCAGTACCCACTACAAAACATATCTATGGGTCATAAGGGGAAAGGGACATAAGTTAATAAAAACTGAAAGGGAAAAAAAAACCAACACAACAGAACTGCTAGACATATCTACTTCAGAAAACAAACATACATATTGAGTGTGTGTGGTCCAATACCAGGAATCTGACATTGTATGAATAAGGTCATACTATCTTTTATACATTAATTACAATGACAGATTATGCACATCTATACAGCTACTCTGAATTCCTAGTTCCACTTACTGAACAAACTCATCCTCACACTTACCAATGGAAATGCTATGAGATCCTCTGCATTCATAGTGCTCAGTTCTGTCTTGGAAATGGGAAAATTTGGAGGCAAGAAATACCTCAAGCAATTTCTGTTGAAAAAGAAAAATATTCATACAAAAGGAAATGTTAAAAATGCACAACACAGAAAAAAAAAATGTTTTAAGCAAAGAACAGATTAAAGAAACATTACTTTTTTTTTTTTATAATGTTAGAGAATTCCTGGTGCCTTTTAGAATCAAGTAAACTTAACTCTGATGCAACATTTCAGTTTTGCTGCAGCTCCTACTTCTGATATAAAAGGGTTAACATATAGTCAATATCAACAACAAACTTGCATCTTCTTCATTATCAATACTTATTTAACAAGATCTGTGGAACTAGAGTAATCATTTGACACAAACATTTTGTGTATTTCTGATCTATAACAACTGTGTCTAAGATCATGCAGAAAGATGATTTCAGACGTTTATTGTAAGCCAGTGCTTGAGCACCACACAGAAAATGTAGTGCCACCATTTGGACTTTGCATAGCATAGCATAGCCAGAAGTAAATTTCTACTCGGCTATATCTATCAATCTAAAAAAAAAGATTTTATTTCCCCCTCCTGGGTGGTATATATTATTTTTGTGTATTCCTCACTCGGTTCCTTTACCAGAGGCCTCATAGAATGAGGGTTCTGTGCAGTACCTTAGCTGTTCCTAGAACTGGAACACCTGAAATCTGTTGAAGCCACTTCCCCAACTTGGGGGAAACAACCCTGTGTTCTCTGATCACAGCTGAGGCAATGACACATTTCACTTTCCACATCCTCTTTCAGTCCTTGATATTTGTCTACCTTTTCAGGTTCTCTCTTCCTGATGTTATGGTCACTGACTATTGCCACATCCACAATATTCAGTTTCTTGCATACCACCACAATATCAGGTTGGTTAGCCAGTATTTGCTTGCCTGTCGGGATCTGAAAGTCCCACTTGAACTAAACACGGTCATTCTCAACTACCCTTTGTGGTATCTCCCATCTGGAGTTATTAGATATTTCAGGACACAATCCCAGCAACTTGTTTGTGCTTCTCAGTGTAAGCTATCCCTGCTAACATCTTGCACCCGGCTACTATCTGCTGGGTTGTCTCAAAGACTTGTTTGCACAGTCTGCACCTTGGGTCTTGCCTCGTGTGGTAGACCCCTATTTCTATTGATCTGGTGCAGAGGAGATGTTTGTCTTGCCACGAACCTCTTTTTTCTGCATCCTCTATCTGTTGTTGGCATTACCTTAGCAGTTCATCTTTGGGTGCCATCTTTGTGATGTACTTGTGAATACTCTTTCATCCAGTACTATGGCCTTGACACTCATCGGGCCCTGACCTCCTTCCTTCTGGCTGTTGTACAGCCTTTTGAGTGCGGAATTTTGGGTGGAATTCTCCATTCATAGGGAGTAGTTTTCAGGTTTTGACATCCATGGTGACAAACTCTTCTCTTGGCCAGGTTATTATTCCAGCTGGGTACCTGATGACTGTTGGGCATATGTGTTGATGGCTTGGATCTTGTAATTGCCACTAAGATGGGACTTCAGGTACTTGTAGCTGCTTTCTACACCTCCTATTTGGCCTTCTGATACTTGAGCTCCTTCAGTTCTGATCATCTTCCCTCTATTTGCTATTATCCACCTGTAACTAGTTTGCATTCTCATTTTTTTTGAGCACATTATGTAAACGTTCACGTTGTTTTTGCGGATAGGGGGAGTTTGTGTGGGTCCTGGGTCTGTTGCATACATGCATGCCAATCCTTCTATATTTACTGGTTAAAATACATGGTTTCATCGGTACAAATATATCTAGTTAATAGGATTGGGATCATCTAAGACACAATTATCCTTGGACTTCCTTACCTTGTTTATAATTGCATATGATTGGTATTCTGTATAGTAACACTCAGCAACTTTGTATCATAGCTGTACATATTATTTGAGCTGTGCATTCGTCTTTGTAGTTATTTCTATCTGGATATTACCAGAAGAGCTGTCTCCCAAATTTAGTTGAATTGATTTGACCTTTCAGACATTAACTATTTTGGCCTTAATGGTAACCTTAAGTTTTGTGAAATAACTTTTTAGTTGTTAATCAGTTGTCTTACTTTAGGAGTACCTTTATATAATTTGCACTTGGTTCCCTTTTTTCTTTCCCCCTATCTAGCATTTAGCCAATTGGCTTTTAAAATCTCTCTTTTTCATTTATTGAGTATATAGCAATAACATTTTTTTATATTCTTTTGAGAGACCTCTTTTTCTGGTCCCATATGCCTTCTGATATATTGGACAAGTTTTGTCTGTGTAATTTATCAAACAGTATCCGAATGGTTTGACAACTTAACAGCCCAATACCCTCAATGAATTTAAATGAGAGCAGCCCTGCTTAGCAAAGAGGAAAGCAAGGCTACATCTACAAGAATCTATGTAATTTGTCAAGCCATTCCTCAAAGGAATACTCCACGTGCCATAACCACTGCAGCACGCTATAGTGGCTATGATGCCAGAAGTGCCCTGGCACCCCTACCCATTCTAAATGGTGAAACGGTAGAATGGTTAAACTTCTTACAGGGGGTCCACCGGGCATCGCTCCCAGTCTCCATAACAGGTACATTAGAGCCAAAAAGCCATCTGTCAAAGATAAGCTCGGTTTAGATCAGGAGTGCTAAGGAAAGCCCCTATATGCTCGAGCTTCCAGCTCTCTGAAAGCTGTGGTGAAGCTGAGAAGCAACTAAAATGGTCTTATTGCTTACAATGGAGGGCATAACCACTACAGTGCACTGTAGTGTATAAGGTATTTATGGTGACACTTTAACTGTATTGTTTGAAGACATATCTGAAAACAACAAGAAGAAAAAAGTATTCTTCTTGGTAAAGCACTTTCTAAATACATATCCGCAAGGCAAGTCCCATAACATGTTTTATTAAGAAATAAAAAATGTAAGCAATTATGATTAAGACTTATTTCAAGAAAAAAAAACTTCATATAGCAGCCAATTAAATTCATCTGTTGGACTAACCTGAGAGTTTGTACAAGTAGCTCTTGTGTTGTGGGACTGGTGCTAGGTTCTGTGGTATCTGGCTCTATCCTGGCAGTGTCAGAGGTGGATGGCTCAGATTGTTGAGTGTCTGGTGCCTGGTACTCCGGTGAAGGCGGTCTCATGAGTCTTACATCTTCGCAGCCCTTCTCCACCCTGACAAAACACAAACCATTGCAAGTCACTTTAATTGGCCTCTGCATAGCACTAAGTTTTGTTCAAAGTAAAGGTAAATTAACATGCGCTTAACCATATGTCATAATACAGTCAAACAGAGTATCTGTCAATGTTACTGTAGTTCAGACAAATAGCTTAATCTGCTGTCAAATCAGCTATCAAAATAGCTTTTATTCTTATTTTCTCAGCACAGCATTATACTGTGTATATTTTTTTTTGAGGGGGGGGAGGGGGAATATATCTTTATTTATAGTAATTCAAAGACTCAGAAAATAGAACACACAGTAGGGACTCACAGAACAATTAGCGAGTTAGCAGTGTAGAAGACAGATTTAAAAAACACTTCAAATACATTGATATACAGAGAACTGGGGGGGTGTGGGGGGGCTCATCTAGAGGGGAACAGGTAACAGAAACCTTAACTGGATATTTGTAGAAAAAAAATTAAAAATAAATAAATAGGAAAACAAAATCAGGATGTTATTAAGGGAAAGGGAGGGGAAAGATGGCACAGAGTTTGTTTAGATGTGTCTCAGCCAATTCACAACCAACAGGTCTATAAACTTTTCCTTTTGGCAGTTAAAATAATTCAGTAGAAGCTACAGTCTATCAATGGAAACACTAACAAGCCAGTGGTCCCATACTGTCGTGTACTTCGGATTTATAATCAAGGTGCAAAATAACAGTTTCTCAGTTGAGTGGGGATCCTCCATTTGGGTAAACCACAAGCTCAGTGGAGGACTTATTTGTTGCTTCCATAAAAGGGGATGAAATTGTTTGGCAATATTCAAATTATGGACGACTAGCAAGTTCTTAATAGTGGAAAATGGAAATAATAGTATGGTGGAGGTGCATGGGAAGAACAGTCAGAGAACTTATGATATTATTATATTATCCCAGATGTGGCGTAAGATTGGACAGTTCCACCAGATATGAAGCGTGCCAGCAATGGCAGTCTCGGGTAGCCTATATTGAGTGTAGGAAATGAGGGGTGCCATACCACAAGGATAGCAATGTGTAGGCAGATTCCGGAGTCCTCCCAAAGATTAAATATTGTGTAAAGCCACTAATCTTTTTATATTGGGCCTCAGTGTAAGCCTCACCAGTGAACATTTCCCATTTACCCACAAAGGAGGGTGTAGGTGTAGTTAGCTGTGCTTGAAGTAACATGTAGGAGACCACGTGGTCAAGAGGAGAGGGACCACTGCATGTCAATTCAAATTTAGTGAATTTCCAACAATGTAAGCGCTGAGGTGGAATTCTTGAAATGTAGTTCTGTAACTGCAGATATTAATATTGCTGCAGATAGGGTGTGCCCTCCCCGTACACAGCAAGCCAAGGTGTTCCAAACCTATAATAGTAATCACAATGTGAGACCTTGGTAATAGCAACTTCCATCAGTGGCCATAGTGCCTTGGGGTTCAGACCAGGAGGGATATCCAGAATATAAATTAAGAGCAGAAAGGGGGACAGGAAGGAGGAAAGTTCATATATCTTGGCACTGGCATGCCAAATTTGCAAAGTGGCCCAAACATATGGTTGTGGGTCCTCCAGATCTCTGCCTTGAGCGTGTGGTAGCCACAAAAGAATCGAGACAGGAACACTGACCAGAGTGTTCTCAATCATTTACCATTGTGAGTAAATCACTTTTCACGCACTCCACCATACGTAACTAACCAAGAAATACTTTTTTACATCAGGAACAGCTAAACCACCTAGAATTCTAGTTAGAATCAATGGTGAGAATTTCTGTGGAGACCTCCTTATTTGTCAGATTTATTTTATAAACAAGTAACAAAAAAAAAAACAAAAAAAGGATGGGTTATTATGATTGGAATCATCTTAAAAAGGTACAACTGACAAGGCAAGAGGTTCATTTAAATTACCTGGGTACTCTCTTACCAAGAAATATGTGGATATGACCATTTCTAGAGATCCCTTTTGAGAGATATAAAAATACAAGCACAATTATAAGCAAACCAGATTCCAAGGTATTTAATCTTTACCTCAGATCATTGAAAGGGGAAGTTCTGACGGGCCAGGAGCACCTGCTCCCCTTGGCAGGGAATCATTCAGCACATTTAACTTTGCAGAATTTGTTTTCAAGTTAGAGGGAGGGGCAATTTCCACAAAGACTGCCATTATATTAGGTAAAGAGGTAGTTGGGGCAGACATAATAAATAAGAAGTTATCAGTGTAAGCCTCCAACCACAATAACTCCCTCTCACCTCAGGTGAGGGTGAGTATTATCTATCATCTGGGACCAAAACAGTAGTCTACAACATCAATATTTGCAGACACACAAATTACTATAACTTTCATTGGACATGTACACTATGCTTAATTAAGCTATTTAACATGACCCTTGGAGCACACATACACTTCACTACTTATTTTTTTTGGATACATTACCATCGATCACGTGGAGTGGTGTCTGTAGGTACATAGTCAAACTTCACCTTCCAGCGAACTCCCTGTTTGCCTGCTTCTACAGCAGTCACCCGTCCTGTGAACCACTCCTTGTTAACACGCACCTCCACATGCAAACCTTTATCTACAGAATGAAGAACTCGAGTTACAAAGTATATACATATCTATTGTTCTACTCTAATATTACAATCTGGTAGAGTAATTTTAAGTTATACATCTTTTATGATAAAATATTTCAAAGAGAACATACACTGTTAGTGATTGAAAACCAATGTACTCCTTCCTTTCCTTCAACCATCCTTGTAATCTGCCCTGCATGCTGTAAAATGTAATGCATTATGCTTACATTGCCTCATGTGTTTGTATGAATGTTGGCACTTATTTAAATAGCAGTTGAACCATATATGTGTGTACTATCAAGAAACCGAATACTTAAACTAGTTTCCTAGATCTATTATATATGGTCAGTTCTTAACATATGTGCAATAATCCAAGCAATCACATGTGGAATAATTCAAAGAACTAATCATGTGTCAGCTTTTTCTATAAAAGGTTATGGTGCCTGGAGATTAACTCCATGCAGAAGCATGTGACTAGAGTCTTCCAATACTCTGAAAAGGAATTTCTATAGGAATTTATCTATATCATTATATATTAGATATGTCCTTGTCAGTAATGCGTGTTACTAAAAATAAAACTTTAACAGTGAGACTTCTAAGTAGATTATCTATTCTACTGATTGTATTATAGATTTGGGCAAATGACTGTATCTAAGCTGAAATAATGATTTTTGTATTTGTTCACTGGTGAGGTTTTTAAATGTAATTTTTAAGAGTTGTGTTAGAACTCTTTAGATTTATCTAACTTACCTTTTAGGGCATCTTTAGTTATAACAACAACATCTTCCTTAGGGCTGCTCTCCACCTCAACAGGTGCACTGGAAGGCTGCAAAGAGAAATCTACATTTTAATCACTGTAAATCAATTTAACAACACAATCACTTCTCTAAGGATGTCACTTATAACAGCTTCCCTTATGGTAGTCTAAATAGTATGCCTTACCATGACAACCCACATTATATTGTTATATATTGATAAATCAGGGCTTAAAATCTCCATTGACCACTAGCGATTGACGTGACATTTAGTGCTGGTGAGTTCAAATTCACCATGATCCATGCAGGCTTGCAGTGTTAAGTAACATTTAAGACCTGGTTAGTAGTGTAGAGCTTATAATGTCAAGCCCTGTCTAATTAGATTAAAACGTGTGACTTATTTATTTACTTTTTTGTGACTTCACAGATTGTGTGTTGAGGGGCTTATTTTTTGTATGAACATTCTACAAGAATATTCATATTTAGATCATAGCCCACTTGAAAATAATTGTTGAGCAACTAATTAACCGCTATTATTGTCATCCTGCTGTGATCCATTTAAGCTGAATTTTCTAAATAAAAACTAAAAGGGAAGCTCCACCCCAAAACAACCTAATATTAATAAAGTTGTAATGGGAGGATGAAGTCCCTGGGTACAGTTTTACCTTAACAACGGCTCTATACTGATAGCAGAAACTTTGCTGTAACCTGTTCCTGTTATAAAGACTTTCTTTTGAGGAAACAGATGGGTGTGCCTATGCTTTTTTACATACCTGTATGTGGCTTGGAGATTTGCCTTTCCTTTCTGAAGCATCCTAATGGGAATCCTCCTTCTTTATCTATATGTGCATTACTCTTGATTATAGCAAACCTAAGTCTATCTCTGGCTGTCCATTGAGAGTATCAGTCCGTACAGGGGACACAACTTCGACATAAAACTGTTCAAAGACAGTTAGCTAAGAGGTCAACAAGGTACTCAATTTCCTTTAACTACTTGAGATTAAGTTGTTTTGAAAATGGAGAGTTCCTTTTACGGTTTTCCTTAACGTACAGCTGAAGGATTATACCTGTCTAAGTAACCAAAGACCGAAGTTTATTCATGTTTTTCAGAAAGTGATCCTCCTGACAACTGGAACCCTAGGCAGTGTATCTTTAAAAATGTGCAAATTCTTCTCTACCTCATTGGAATCTTTCTTCTCTTGTTTTATGTCCATCACTTTAGAACGTTTTGCTTTTTCAGGTTTCTGAATTACAACTGGCTCTTCTTCTTCTTCATCATCATCATCTTCTTCAATGACCATCTGTTGTGAGCTTCTTTTTTTAACATTGCTCACCTGTATTAAAAAAAAAAAAAAGAAAATACATTTAAGAAGAATTAAAATCACCCCTGTTTTAAGTCCCTCCACCCATATGGGCACAGAAGATGTGTTTCACGTACATTTAAATGCTCAAAAGTACAATATCTATCTTCATTAATACTTCAACTGAGAATGTATATTATGTGATAATCATTTATCATTAAAAACATTTGATTAATCATATGTGATGTATACTGGACAAAACAATCAATTATGTTTAAACTAGTGATGGCGTTCGGAGAATATTGGCAAAATATATGTGGCCACTACTAAAAGCATGTGCTAGGGAGAAAGTTGGCTACATGTTGGTGAGATTACTGTATGAGAGGGAAGGTATATAGGGAGAAAGAGGTGGTTCCTTGCCATTTTGTGTGACTGATGGCAATATGTAGGGATGTCGGCAGTAATTATGTACATTTGAGGAGGCTATCATTAAGATACCATATCTTCAAAACAAAATGGAAAAGTTACTATCCAAGCCATTGATATATATATATATAGATAGATAGATATATATTAGTTAATTTTTGATATATATATATATATTAGTTAATTTTTCCATTTACCTGCTAATTTGTCTTAAGATAATTTGAGGATAGTGATTGGCTGAGCAGCAGAGTCAAATCAGCAGCTTAGCTCACACTGATGTCTCACTGGCAGAGCTACACAGCTTACCTTTCGATCAGTACAACAGTTTTGTGAAAATTGGTAGACAAGTGTTTGTAGAAAGCTGCAAAAAAATGTATGATTTTAAATAAACACTCCAAGTACTATATCCACTATAGAGCGCTGCAGTGCTTATGGTGCCACATGTCCACCATTATATGCAATCCATTTTAGAACGGTTTGGCTACCTCCTGAAGTCAGTCGGGTGCCGCTCCCTGCCTACACATCTGAAAACTCTGTCTAAAATAGGCTGTGCAGTCAATAAGTCAGACCTGCACTGCAGAACTTCAGTTCAGGAGAGCCAACGAGAGCTCCATTAGTGGAGGAAGAGAGCGATGCCCAGCGGACTCCAGTAAAGATGCCAAACTGATCTAAAACAGCTTGACTACTTACAATAGGCAGACGGTGCCAGGGCATTACTTCCACCATAACTATTACAGCGAGTAACGGTTATGGTGCCTGGAGTGTTTCTTAAAAAATAGATAACTAAAGAGATTTGAACAGGTAGAATAATCACATCCAGAGTAAGAGTTACATTGGGGCCCAAATAATTTCATAAATTACATTTTATGAAGTCAGCAGGCACATAAATTATCGTGTTGCATTGGATGCGATCTACTTTGATTTTGCAGAGAGATTTAATACAGTCCCACACAAAAGGTTACTGTACAAACAAACTATTTAGGTTAGGTGAAAATTGTTGTTCTTGGCTAACACACTGGCTTAAAAAGTAGTTTGTAAATGTTAAAAAAAAATAAAAATTAAAAAAAAATATTATTTTAAAAACCCACACATTTTTTTCTAAGATTGAAAACCACATCACAAGTGATGCAAGTGTTCAATGCAAATGAGCTGCCTAGGGCAGGGTTATAAAAGTGTCCACTTTTATAAAGTAAGCACACTTCAGGGCACTAAAGTGTTTCTTAAAAGGGGAAATTGTCAAGACAAATATAGTATGTATAGAACTAAAACGGTTTGACTACGTACAAAGTAAACTTTAGTAGATAAATACAAAGTAAGGCATTTTAGGGTAAGCAATGCACAAGCAACTTAAATCCTAAATAGTACTAACTAAGTGGATCCATTGCAGAGTCAAGAATTTTCTTCGATTTTGTGTAAAAAAATCTGAATGACTTCAAACTAGGATTTTTGCTTTCGTTTGGATCAACATTTGTAACAGATATATGTGAAAGACTGAAGTTAATAGACTTAATAGAGTTTTTTTCCGACTTATATGACAAAGTAGGAATTCTATCAACTTTCATACCGGAGGAGTCTTGCTTGGAACTGGCCTTTTTGGTAACACTGTTTTTGTGTCTTTGCTTTTCAGGTTTAGTGATGGAGATGGACTCGGTCTGGCAAGTCTTGCTGGTTGTGAAGGAGGACTAGGAGCAGGTGACGATTTCAGAGTGTTCAGCGTTCGACTGGCAATCTTGGGAGATATGCTTGGTCTGGCAGGAGTGATGGTTTGAGGCTGGGCTTTGGACACACTAGCCAACTGACGGTTGCTTGACACTACTCGTGTCGGCTGAGTTTTTGGTAAGCTTGTACGTGGTGGTACAGGCTTTACAACTTGCTTCAGAACAGCAGGCAGTGGAGGTGACCTTGGTCTAGGTGGCCGACTGTCTGACAAAGAGGCCTGATGGATGTGAAAGAAATTATTATAAAAACAACAAATGAAATGAAGGGAAAAGAAAGTATAATAAATTAATTTGTGTCTCACCTGTGCTCCACGTGTGCTAACCTCTAAAGGAAGCTTCTTTATATCTGCACTAGAACGCACAGGTACCACTTTCTGTAAATCAAACATGTACTATAATTCTCTGCTGGTTAACACAAACAAATTTCAGAATTATCTTTTATTTAAACAAAACACAACATTTTAAAAACTTTAACTAAACTAGTTCACCTACAGTGACCTGTCAGTGACATCAGTTCCTATTACGGTTTCTGAATTTACTTATTAGCTGCAAGAAGGGGGAAGCACACACTCCTATAGCTGTACATTTCTGTTGAATAATAGTGTCAATGTCTGTGCCACATGGCAAAATTATTGGTACAAAAGCCTGTAACCCACAGCTTATCAATATCCCATTATTACTGTACTAGCCTCTGTACTTTACTGAAATACCTTTTGTGTCACATGTGGTTTTAATAAAGAAAAAATGTGCATACAATCAGAGCAATTGGCACCATGCAAATGATAAATATTGCTGAAAGATTTATTAATAACCCTGAACACTGCTTATTCTGCTCCTCACCTCTAAAGCTTCTAACTTCTCTTGCTGTAGCTTGATCTTCTCACTTAGCTGCTTTTTCTTTTCTTCTTGTGATAAGAGGTCTTTCTTCAGCACACCAATAGGGACTTTTTGCTTCTGCTCTGGAGCGTCACACCTGCAAGATATAAACGTAAAGTCTGTTAAAGGAAAAACTAAAGAGCATTGCCTTTTTTCCTCATAATCCAATTTTAGTTGTGGAGCAGAAGATGGATCATAAGTCGTTAAAAAAGTAGCACTATCACCTGTTTGTCACAATTGTAGCTAGTACCAGGTGTTGTCACAATAAACTCAAGTATTCATATGGAGTTATGTCAGTATTATACAAACTTAGTACAGGGCTGACTTACACATGTAATACTGAATAAACTAAATGGGCACAATGAGCAACATAACCGAAACAAGTCAGTGTAGCTGTTGTCAATAGTCCTTGAAGATTTTGTCTTACTGTATAGAGGCAGTTTAACAATAAACTAGGCTCCTCCCAACATTCAGAGACCACCCCCTCCTAGATTGCATTCATACTGCAGAACACTTTGCATTACCTATTTCAATTTTGTCAACACCTGGATGGAAAAGATAGACTAAGAGGGCTAAAAGCAGAAAAGCACAGTACTCTTAAGTCAATCACTGCTGTCCATGTTGGACAAAACTAACATTGATAAAGGGGAAGTGTACCTTATTTCTTAAAATAAATCATGGATGACATTTGATAACATGCACATTTTTGTATGATAATAAACAATGTTGCGATATAAGAGAGATAGCATCACATAGTACCTCAGGCTTAGGGAGAAGTTATAAAGCAATGCCATCATAATATTATGTGGCTTAGTGGTGAATGGAAAATAAATAACTAACCAAGATAAATACAAATAACTCCAAACACTGGTTGCTTGGCTTCAACATGAATTAAGGTAATGGCTGCCTGCTTTTGAGTGGCTTGAGGGTTTAGGCACCAGTCCCTCGACCTGTCAGCCTATTCCTCTTCGTTCCTGCGTATCCACACTGCAAGCAGCAACTGCATTCTGTGTTCAGAAGCCCCTTCAGGCCCAGGCTTGAGAGAGGGCCGGCATCGATGCACCATAGATCTGAATTTTTCTTAATTTCTCCCTTTGTTGAGGGCGGTCGGAGGATTAAGTTGCCAATCGCTGCTTGTCTCAGGTAATCTTGCATCTCCGTGGGCGATGCAGGGCAAGCAAGCCCCTTGTGGCTCTCAGCCTAGGTGGGGGCACAGTGGGACGAACAGATTTCATACACTGTGTGTTGCTCAGAGTAGGCCCCTTCACCATCTGCTGCTGGACCATTCTGTCTCCCGACTGAGGGTTGAGGTTGACTTTGGTGGCTGAAATTCGTTGCTGCATTGTCAGGGGAGAGGGGGTGAGAGAGGAGGTAGGAGTGCCACAAGTCCAGGCCCCAGCCCAAAGCACAAGGCTTCCTTCAGCTCCACCCCAGGTTCTCGGTATGAGAAACACATGGGTGAATTATCAAACAGCTTGCCTGGGTTCCCCTGACCTTAGGTACACTGAAGGATTTGCGTGGCAGCATCACATGCCGGATTATAGCCCTAATTTCAGCTCCGAGAGCTCTGGCATAACACGTCTAGCTCACTTGGAGGTCAGGCCCTGCCCCATATAATATAAATATATATAAATTTTGCACCGTCCCAGTCACAGGTGCCTCATTCAAGGGCCCTATTTAACCTTGACTTGCAGAGAGTCCCATTAGGAAATATGTGGATTAATCTCATAAGGGCAGGCATTGGGATGCTAGAGTAGGACCTGACAAGAATGAGGTACATTGACGTTGTGGCAGGCTTATGCAATGTATGATCATATACTGTAACTAAACCCCCATTATTTTTGCCTAGGTGAGGTGTTTTTAAATAAAACTATTACAATCTGTAAAACTTAAAACTGCTGTTTAGTGAATAAGTGAGTGCGCTGGATCTTGTATGCTGTATAAAATGGCCCTAGCAGCACCCATTCATGTATGCATGTTCAGGTGAGTGCAGCCTCTTGGATATTTTTATATATAAATGTATGCATGTATAATATATATACTGTCGGGTTTTATAATATATATATATATATATATATATATAAAAATAAAGTATTTTTTAGAAAACTTCACGGGAATGACAAAAACTATGTAATAAGTCACAACTTTATTTTACATAAACGTTGTTCTTTAAATCTGCAGCGAAGGTAGCAATTTATGAATACAATATGTGCATATTTAGCATAAAACAGCTTCATATTTTCCAGATGCTATATCAACGGTATCAGTATATCAGTACTTACTTGTCTTGATCTGCATCAGGGTTCATAGCACAGACCCATGTGTCAGGATATTCTTTTTCTACAGAATTCAACTGGAATGGGAGTGTCCTCCACTTTAAACACACATCTGCAACATTCAAAAATTTGAATAATTTCATAAAAAGTCAAATAAAAGTACAACTAGTGCACCTGTCATGCAGGAAAGGATTATATTCAAAGAGAAGGTATGTCTTTTAGATGGTAACATTAAAAGCAAAAAATATCACTCACCGCATTGAATAGTGGTGGGAATTTCCATTGCACGTCTGCGTTTATAACGTACATCAGATGATGGTGGCTGATTCCAGTTTGCGGATATGTAACCAAACTCATCCCAGAATTTTACAATCCCTTTCTGTGCTGTAGATCAAAATAAGCCAATATTATTAAGAACTGCAACATCAACAAATTTGTTCTTCACAGGAATCATGATTATATTGCAATTCCCCCCAAAAATTCTGAATTTGTTACCCTATGTAAAGAATTTTTTTTAAATTCTATCTAGGCTATGGTACTACCTTATTAAAATCTTTTAAACTTGTGTGGGAAAGCCTCACTACAAGTTAAAGGACCACTATAGTGCCAGGAAAACATACTCTTTTTCCTGGCACTGTAGTGCCCTGAGGGGGCCCCCACCCTCAGGGTCCCCCTCCCGCCGGGCTGGATGGAGAGGAAGGGGTTAAACTTACCTCTTTCTCCAGCACCGGGCGGGGAGCTCTCCTCCTACTCTCCGGTTGAATGCGCATGTGCTGCAGGAGCTGCGCGCGCATTCAGCCAGTCCATAGGAAAGCATTCACAATGCTTTCCTATGGAAGCATTCACAATGCTTTCCTATGGACTGTGAAAATCACAGTGAGAAGCGCGGAAGCCCTCTAGCGGATGTCAATGAGACAGCCACTAGAGGCTGGATTAAGCCTAATATAAACATAGTTTATAGAAAAAAGGGTTAAACCTAGCTGGACCTGGCACCCAGACCACTTCATTAAGCTGAAGTGGTCTGGGTGCCTATAGTGGTCCTTTAACTGCCTATATAGTCTATGTCACCTAGTTTTTATACTCTGAGGGTACCTGCAAGCAAAATCCATTAAAAAAGTAAATTGTGAAAGGCTTAACCAGTGTTCATTTTGGCGGCATATTTCAATTTAGTTTTAGTCAGTGTTTTTACTAAAAAGCCGATTTAGTCGTATTTTAGTCATCTAAATTGGTTTAGTCTAGTTTTAATCAACTAAATCTCCAGTAGATTTTAGTCGACTAAATATCCGGTCGATACAACTAAAATCTAATAAGATTTAATTAAAGTCTTTATCTGTCTCTTTTGTCGCTTCCCCAGCCCCTCTGTCACTCTTTGTGTGTGTCCCAGCCCACCATATGTATCATTCTTCAGCCTCCCATGCGTCTTATTTCTTCTCCTCCCTCCCCCAGTGTTCATTTTGTCTGAAATTTCAATTTAGTTTTAGTTGTAGTCTTGACTTAAAAAGCCATTTTAGCATATTTTAATAATCTGTTTTAGTTTCAGTCAACTAAATCTCAAAAATTATAGTCAACTAAAATTGTTAATCGACACAATTAACACTGGGCTGAACTTGATGGACACGTCTCTTTTCAGCTGTACAAAGATGTAACTATATGTGTAAATTTATGTAAAGCATCTTGGTAATTTCAGTGCAAAATGATAAAGTTTAATTAAATTTAAGTCTCACCTATTCCCACATCTTTCCAGTATTGTGCCAAATGATCTCCCATAGCTTTTAAGAGGTGCCGGTATTCCTTTGCATCTGCAAAGTCCTGCTTGTTATGCGTAGGTTCTAGAACAAGATATGGTACATCCACTACCCCAACAGCACCCCCGCATGCACTGCAAAAAAAAAGAAGATACAAATTTTAAATTAAAAATACACTGTAGACACCATACCCACTTCAACTCATAGAATTGGTTATAATGCATGCACTTACCTGTCACTGACCTTCAATTCAGCATTTTTGAGCAGTTTAACACTAACTAGGGGCCCAGAGCCACCTATAGCCTGGCCCCTACTACATATTTGAATCCCTGATTACATATTTCCTCTTATCCATAATAATTCATATAAGCA